CGTAATCGAAGCTGCAGGGTCAAGATTTATTGCAATCATTATTTCTTGAACTCTTTTAAATCCTAAAAATCTTAAAGAAATTTTGCTTTCTTATTGCTTGCTTATTTGAAATCGAAATAAGATTTCCATCGTTTCGTTGTCAATATTTTTCGATTGCAATGAAGATAAGCATGATATAAGTGTAGATTTCTTTTTCTGGGGAAATTATAATTAGTTGTGAAATAGATTGAAATATAAAATCAAATAGACATAACGAAGTGGACTATCTCGGGCGTAGCATTGAATATGGTACGCTTCGTGCTTAAAAATAATTTCGGGGGAGGAAGATAGCCGATCGCGCTGCGGCCATCGCCAAACTAAAGTAACGAGCTGTCGGGGTGGAAGAAATAAACGGGAAGCAGGAAGGACAGACAGCTGGCGGGGGTGGTTTCGGGGGGGGGTGGTCCGGGGTTCATAGTAGGACAAGGACGGCTCGGAGATGGGGTCAAGCATAAAATTGGCAAAAAAAGGCTCGATGTTTGGTAGGATGTTTCGCGTCCCCGATCTCACCCCGTGCCCCCCTCCCCCGCGCGGCCCGGTCGTTAATACGGCATAAGGAGAAAGCAGGGTTAAGCGAGGGTGAAGCGAGGATTTTTAATTGTAGTTCAGCCGGCATAACCCCGCTCGACCCGCCGGTATTGTCATACCGGGAGCGGCGCTTTTCTTTATTTCCCCAGTGGCTGGATGAGGTTATACATTTTTTTTAACTACGGCAATGCCTCCGTCTTCTTATTAGCAAAGCTAATTGGAAATACAAATGGTTATTCACGGTAAGAAGGAAGCCCGAAGACCGACTCTGCGAGCCGGAGTACCAGCCGATGGAGGGCTCTATGGAAAGGGTGGGAGGTCTGAGGAGATGGGAGGAAGGTGGGCACAGAAGGGTGCAGGAGGGGGAGGGCGAAAGAGGACGTTGGTACGCTCTCTCTTCTCTCTCCGCGTATTAAGCTTGTATTTGCCCTGGATAATTAGGACTTTTTCCCGACCAATTCAGATGAATAATTGATTTTCCTCCGGCCCGACGGCACACCCCGTCGCTTCTGGACCTCTACGAATGACAATCACCCGAAGAAAAATACAGATCTTTCGGATGAAATATTCAATACCTGCTCGATGAGAAGGGTGAACCTCGAGACCTACCCCCGAGGTACCATCTGGCTTATTGTTCCCCGGAAGTATCGGGAACGACGCGGAAAAATTCATCGCCGATGAATCCCTTCGCAATTCGCTTCCTCTAAGCTAAGCTCCTTCCGTTCGTTAATTAGCCTTCGATTTTATTCTTCTATACGTTTGCATGGTCGTCGAATGTTTAAACAAACTGTATATTGTTATAAATTAACTCTCGATCTTATCATTCGTACAAGATCAACGAAGAACTTTTATACTAACCATGTCTACTTTGTGATTAGCACGATAACCGTCCTGTTTAAAAATAAATAAAATATCACGTCAATTGGTATAGTATTTGCCTTGCGTCGTTGAATGCCGAAATGTCAGTGACAATTGATAAATTTTCGTCATATTCCTCCAGTTTTATATTTCTACAAGGATCACTTTCACTTGAGCAGAAATCGTTCCCTCCGGCGTCAGGTGTGCTTATTGAATTTTTCATCAGGCGTGAAACTTTCAACGTTCTTCGAATAAGATTACCTTAATTTTCGAATGGTCTGAGATCCGGGAAATCTCGAGGCATCAAGGCGAACTGTCGAAGGAATAGTCGGTCAAGCAGCAATCTCGCAGGAGAGAAGAAACGGCCGCCAGGGGCTCGGCAACTTTTTTTCATCAGCATTTTACGGTTATGCCTGCGCATTAATAATGCACATGCTTAATATAAAAAGAAGCCCGCGAGTCCTCCGTCTAATAAACTGGAAGAATGCTTTATAACCGGCCGCGGTTTCGGGTCACGAGGGGCAAGGAGGGCGACGGCAAAGTATTTGCCGGCAGCCGGTTTCAAGGGGGTGGCTTTCTTCTTTATGTCCGCGGAACGGCCAATCTCTCCAGGACGCGTCGAACGAAAGTGGCCGAACTTCTCCCGGCCACAAAGAGACAAATCGTCGCTTCACTCGTTAAAGGACTTCCACACTCCCACCCCGTGCTTCCGGTCGAGAGGCAACGGAACTCGGATTTTTGCCGAAATCTCGCCACCCCCGTTTAGAAATTCTCTCGAAATCTCCTTCCCCGAAAAAACCCCTAGGAAAAGTCTGGCCTGAAAACAACTATAGGAAAACTCCTGGGGAAAACCCGTGGGAAAACAATTTTTTCAAATATTATTGCCGGAATCACTTGATTAGCACTTTTTCATCGTTAATGACAAAACATGTGTACACAATTACTCGAAGCCGATATCCGCTACAAACGTCTAATATAGTCTACAGCAAAATTGGATTTCATTTTCATTTCGAAGAAGCAAATAGCATCCATGCTAAGTAGATTATATTCGAAATTGTCATAACGAGTCTGTCACGTTGTTATAGTACAAGCGGTCAATATTTCGAAGGCAGTAAAAAATTAAATAAAAATGTGCATCGATAAAGGGACTACATACTTTGTTGCTTTTTGTCAATAAGTTCGGTACATTAAAATTCTTAAATTAATTTGATACCGTTACTGTTTGCGATCAGTTTACCGTAAACGCTCATTTAAGAGATTATCATTACACGTTAAATTCCACATCGGAGAACTTGAAAATAGCTACTGCAGGATGCTGCTTACACTATGTCACTGTTTATAAACATGCTTGGTGGCTGCACAATGCACTTTTAAATACAATGTAATTCTATCGAAGGCGTAGGTGAGGACTAAATGAATGCGACTGTTTCCTTCGATCGACTGATCCGGACTGCTCGATCGTCGTCCTTTTTATTGACTTGCCTTAACGACGCGTATATTCGCACATGCATATCCGGATCGGTCCGGCGACGACGTGACGCCGCGACCGATGCCGACCACACCGACACTCTACGGTATAACGATCTATCGATATGTGTATTCGAAGAAATATTGAAACTACTGTAGACACTTCTGATTGTCTCGAAAACATTCCAATCTCTATACTCAATGTAACATCGATTATATCTATTCAATTATATGATACAGCATGAAGATAATACATAGCAAAACTTTAAGCAACATTTTAGTTGTTAAAAACAGTGTGACCCGTAATTATAAATATCGATATTTAATAACACAGTTTGATCGATAGACCGCAAATTTGATATATTTATTGCAAAAGCAAGTGGATTAAATACGAAACAAGACTAAATATAAAGATTTCCAAATACAGTTGCGCTATTTTCGACTAATTAAAATTTTATTAATTCAAGAAATAGATTTCTATCAATCTTCTATATCTTACATCTAACACAGGTAATTTTTATTTTCCATACAATTCCAGAATAACTAAATGTAAAAAATTTCAGATCGACAACTGTCACCATCGTTCCTGCACTCCCATATTCTGGCATTGATTAACCCTAGAAAGATAACCATATGACAATGTACGTAAAAGATAACCATACGCTTCAGAGGCGCATGCTTTTCTAAGGCGTCAATTTTATACTAACAATGGATATTTATTTAAGTTAATCTAGTCATTTTAAAGGTTTGGCATTATTGTAAAAATAAAATGCATTTATATTATATTTTTTTATATTTTAAGTAATTTTAAACTTAAATCACTAGACCTCTATGAAAAATTAACAAAAATCAACAGTCTTC